CTTTTCTTAAGAGTGGTATATTGAAGTCTCCAATTACTATAGTTATGTTGTCTATGCCTTTTTTCAGTTTTGTTAATATTTGTTTTATATGTTTTGCAGGCTTTTCATTTGGTACATAGATATTTATTATTCTTATGTCCTCTTGTTCTATTGACCCTTTAAGCATTATGTAGTGAACTTCCTTGTCCTTGTGATGGCTTTTTCACTGAAATTTACTTTATCAGAGATTAATATTGCTACTCCTGCTTTTTTCTGGTTGCCATTTGCTTGGTATATTTTTCTTCACTCTTTTATTTTTAGTTTTTCTTTATCTTCATTTTTCAAGTGTGTCTCTTGTAGACAACATATTGATGGATTTTGGGGTTTTTTTTATCCACTCTGCTTTTTTTCTCTTCAGTGGTGAATTGAAATCATTCACATTCAGTGTGATTATTGAGAGGTAAGATGTTATTGCTATCATTTTGTTGAGTTCTTTTTGTTGTTGTTGCTATTTACTTTGGTCCATCCTGCTTTCTGTGGCACTTCTGTAAGAAGGACATCTCTCAGTGTTTCCTTCAATGCTGGTATTCTTTCTACAAACTCCCTTAGGTTCTGCTTTTCTGGGAATATCTTGATCTCTCCTTCATATTTGATGGACAATTTTCCACTGGTTGACAGCTGTGTTCTTTGAGTGTTCGGTAGATGTCTTTCCACTCTCTCTTCTTGCGCACATGGTTTCTGCTGAGAAATTGGTATTTAATCTTATCTGCTCTCCCTTATATGTTACTCTTTGTTTATCCCTTGCTGCTTTCAGAATTCTCTCCTTATCTTTGGTTCTGGCAAATTTGACTATGATACGCTTTGATGTTTTTCTTTTGGGGTTTAATCTATATGGTGTTCACTCAGCTTCTTGTATATATATTCTCTCATTCTTCATTATGCCTGGAACTTTTTTTCCTAGTAATTCTTCCACAAGCTTTTTGATGCTTTTACTTCCATGTTATTTCTCTTGATTGTGTCCCACATTATTCTTAGGTATTCATCTTTTTCCTTCTTTTGATTCTGCTTCTTGTTCTAGCAGATCAGTGGTGACAATTCTATCTTCTATTTCACTGGTTCTGTTTTCTATCTATTCAACTCTGTTCATGCGTTCCTCTGTCATGTTGATAGCATCTGAGACCTTGGTTGGACCTCATATTTTGGATCGTGGTTTCTTGTTTTTCTAGTATCTCTAATGCTTCATTTGTTTGATCTGCATTGTTTTGGATATTTTTCTAAGTTCCTCCTGATTTTTTTTCTTTTCTTGCAGTGTCCTATAATTTTTCAGGTTTGTTTTTCTCCCATTGAAAATATTCAGTCATTGTTATTTTAAATTCTGTGTCAGAAAGTTCCATCAGACTTTCTGGCTTCAGGAAATCCATTGCTCCTGTGTCACTTTTGGGGGGTGATATCTTGTTTTGAGCTTGTGTGGGGAGTGAGGTAGCCAGCTTCTATTGGGACTTTGATATGGTAGAGTTTTTTGTGCCCCAGGTGATAGCCAGTTCTTGATCTGATGTCACTGCTCCAGAAGAAGGGTGGGTGAGCACACATGCAGAAACACTTGGGGACCTGGGGGAGATGCATGCACACACGAACACAGGGTGTGTGTGCAGGGGGCGAGAGCTGAATGGAAAACCAGGAAGCCTTAGTTTTCCCCTCGACAACTGGGTGGGCTACCCCAGTCAAGCTCCATCTATCTCATGTCCTCCTATTTAAGGTGATGGGGTCCCACAATTGGTCCAGCAATCAGCCATGTTTTCGCCTAAGTACCTCAGTTAAATTCCTCCTGTCCTGCTTGCTCCTGGTGGGTGGGTCCTGCTGTGCATCACTGCTCCCCCCATGGCTTGCTGCTCCCCAATGAGGCATGCTGCACCCCACCAAAGCTCACTGCACCTCACCAAAGCTAGCTGAACCCTGCTGACACTTGCTGCTTCCATGGTTCTCAAACATCTGTGTTGGTCCACAGCAATGTTTTGAGAAGTACTTATAGATTTGTGCTTCCTTTGCTTGACAGCAGTTTTCCCCCCAAAGTACCTGAATGACCAAGGAGGAAGCCTGTTGTTCTCTTCTGGAATTGGATTCTCACCTCCTTCAATGTGACCAGGACTTCCCTGTTGCCTGAGTTAAGCATTCCCACATGGTCAAGCCAGACAGCAGTTTTTTCCCCCAAAGTACCTGAATGGCCAAGGAGAAAACCTGTTGTTACCTTCTGGATGTGGCTTCTCACTTCTGTCTTGGTGCCCAGGACCTTCCTGCTGCCTGAGTTAAAGGTTCCTTTGGAGTTCAAGCCAGATAGCAGTTTTCCCCCCTAAAGTACCTCAATCAAATTCCATCTGTCCTGCTTGCTCTGTGTGTGTCGCTTTGTAGGGTGTTTTATTTTGATTTTTAATAAAAAACCCACAACTCGCATGTGTCTCACTGCCTGCGTGCATCTCCAACATTAGTATTCTTCTAGAACTTAACTTCGCGCACACACACCCACACACCCCCCCCCTTACTGATGGGCTATCTTTTGACTCTGAGTCATCTTCTCATTCCTAGACTTGTGTGAAGATTTGTACTTTCATCTTCACCCCTAGCTTGCAAGTGCAGTTGACTGAATCTCTCTGGTAAATCTGCCATGTCTGCTGATCTTGCTCTGGACAGTTTGAAGCTGAGTCAAGGGTGGCTTCCAGCCAGGCTGAAAGGTGCTCCTTGGAGTACCCAGAAGAACCTGTGGCTTTGGGAACTCTACATAAGTCAGGTTCTTCAAGGCTCATGCTTGTCAACTGCCCAGTGGTAAAAGGCCTTGCTATATTTCTAAGTCATTAATTTGTCATCTTCAACATAAAACTTTCCTTTCATTGTTGTTGTGTTTTGTCAAGTAAGAACTCATCTGTCTGACCCTCCGGGGGTATGTTCAGAGGCAGACAATCTCATAGGCTGAGATTACCCACCCTTCCCCTGAGAAGCAGCTGGTGGATTTCAAACTGTGTCTTTAAGACTGCAGCACTGCTTCTTGCCACTAGGCCATTAGGGCTCCTTTCATGGAGAAATACTATTTAACTATGACATTGTACACTATTCTCCCCAAAGTCCTCTGTAACCATATAATTACTTCTTTTTTACTGACTGCCACTGAGTGTCATTTTTCACATCCCAGTTCTATAACAGCATATTGTTGTTGTTAAGGACTTGATCCAGCTCTTACAGTGACTCTATGTATGATCCTACACTATCATAACAATCTCTGCTATGTTTAAGCCGATTGTTGGAGTAACTATATCTGTCCACCTCAATAACAATTTTCTTCTCCATTTGAACAGCATAAGTTATAGCAGTCACTATTCAAATATGTCATTAGACAATGTAACTTCAAAAATATCTTGGTTTTAGAGACATCATGATTGGAAGGGTGGAGTGTAAGTGACAGAGAGGAAAACCCTTGATGAGACAGATTGACATAGAGACTGGAGCAATGGGCTCAGGTAGGTACAGCAGGGATGGTGAGGACAGTGCAGGATAGGGCAGGGTTCAGATCAGATGTTCATAGGATCACCATGACTCATTGTTGACTGGAGAGCACTTAACAACAACAATTTCTCCCACAGTCGATGACAGAATCTCACTACAATACCCATAATCAAATCATGGTAATATACAAGTGCTGTTCACATCTCAGTGTTTCATTTATTTATTAGAAATTGGTTTTGTCTATAAGTCTCTTCAAACAGCATTTGGATCATTTGTTTTCTAAAGGTTGAACAAACTAATTAGGAAACTTAGTAGCTTAGGTCTTTGGTAGTGGATGCTAATACAACCCTTGACATTTTACTTTCTCCCCATAAAAACTGGTATAGTAAAAATGTCTTTTTTGTTTTTGAAAGGGGGTTTCAAGTTTTAGTTAATGTTTCCCCAGAAAGGCAATACTTTCATTCAAGTTTTCAAATTTGCTTGTCGCAAATTTTTGTAGCAAAGAAAATATCCTAAAGTGCTTTTAATTTTACAATACAGTTGTGGTGACTTTCTCATTTTTGTGTTGTTTATTTTTCTTTTTTTTTCTTTCTTGTTTTATACTGTCAAATCAGATCTGACTGGTAAAGGAGGAGATTGCTCAGCCTTCTCCAGCAGAGCATCTGGTAGATTCGAACCACATGCCTTCAGAGTTGCAGTGCAGATTCTTGCCTCTAGGCCACTAGAGCTCCCTTCCCCTATTGTTTTGTTTTGTGTGGGGTTTTTTGTTTGTTTGTTTGTTTTTAGTAAACTTCTTGGCTATCCTCTCTGAATTTTCTTGTCCATCTTCACTTCATTCTCTTTCAGTTATTCTTCTATTGTAGAATGACTTCTTTCTCCAAATGCAGTAGATAATTTACAAAAATTATGTTTCAAAATGTTTTTATATGCTTGATATGTATGGATGCACATAGAGACGATTAGAGATATATAATACAACACTTAAATATACATTAAATCTGCAGAAAGTATGTAGCAGGAAAAATGGGGATCCTAGCAAATCTCAGAAAATTGGACCATAATTACTTCTTATACAGATTGATAATTTTTAATGGAAGTACTCTACTAGTTCACTTACTCTTATCACAATTATAAGGTTGGACAATTAATAATGACGATTGAAGAGTTATGGTGTTGACAAAGAGTATGGATATTCCATGGACTGCCAAAAGAACAAACAAGTCTATCTTGGAGAAAATGCAAGTAGGGTGCTCCTAAGAGGAAACTTTATTTCACACACTTTGGGCATGTTGTTAAAAGAGGCAGGTCCTTGGGAAACAACATCAGGTTTGGAAAGGAGGAGGGTCAGCAAAGGACACAGAGGACTCTAAACAAGTTGACGTGACACAGTGACTGTAAGAATGGGCTCTAGTGTATCAGAGATGAAAAAGATGGCACGGGATAGGGCAAGGTTCAGGTCCATTTTTCATAGGGTTGCTATGAGTCATGGTTGACTTGAGGGCATCTAATAACAATAAACTACATGCATTTTAAAAGTTCATGACTCTTTTATTTACACTTTGAGTGATAAACCTATTTGCATTGCCTAACACTTTCTTTAGGGCTATCTGCATTTCTTTGTTTCTTAGACTGTAAACAATGGGGTTAAGCAGGGGTGTCAGGACTGTATAGGTGACTGCCATCAACATATCTTGACGAAATGAGTCATTATTCTTGGGCCTCAAATAGACAAAAGAAGCAAATCCATAGTGTATAGACACTACAGTGAGGTGGGATGAGCAAGTTGAAAAGGCTTTATACCTCCCTTTTGCAGAGGGCATCTTTATAACTGTGGAAACAATGAACACATAGGAAATCATAATCAAAATAAAGCTGCCCACCAGCACAAAGGCAGTGAATGCAAGAAGAGCCATTTTGTGAAGGACAGTATAATCACAAGCAAGGGAGACCACAGGTGTGATGTCACAAAAGAAATGCTGGATGGTTTTAGAGCCACAAAAGGACAAGCTGAATATTATGCTTACGATGCACAGAGAAATCAGAATCCCAACCATAAAAGAGGCCATCATCTGCTGAAAGCAGATTTTCCGGGTCATCAGAATGGGATAGTGCAGTGGATTATGGATGGCTGTGTAGCGGTCATAAGACATGGCAGCTAAGATAAAACAGTTATTAGCTCCCAATCCGAAGAAGAAGAACATCTGTGTGGCACACTCAGGGAAAGAAATTGTCTTGGTCTCTGATAACAGGTCTGCCAGCATACGAGGAATGATGACCATAGTAGTACAGGTTTCTGAAAAGGACAGGCCACAGAGGAAAAAGTACATGGGAGTATGAAGGTTGTGGCTGAGCTTAATGGCCACCATTATGGACACATTTGCTGCTAGAATAGTCATATGGGAGAAGAAAATCACCACAAAGAGGAGATGTTGTAGCTCAGGGAAACTGGAAAATCCCCAGAGAAGGAACTGGGGCATTATTGTGTGGTTCTCCATCTTCCTGGTGGCCTTGGGTTTTCTTCCACAATTGCAAAGGTAGTTGAGGTCAAGGCTCTGAGAGGATTGTTAAAAGTCCCTTCTGTACTTAGTTCTATCACCTGGCCAAATATCAAGAGTTCCAAAGCAGGACAAAGACAACGCTTAATAAGAACAATTGAGATAAAAGATCTATGTGAATCCAATTAAATTCAAGGTCATGATTCTCAGGGATGAGGCGAAATTCTACATTCTAGTTCTAGATAGAAAAAGTCTGTATGGATTCTTGAGGTTTTACCTACCCCAACACTCCTTTCATTCACAGCTTAGATCTGCATGAAAGAGGAAAAATATGGGGGATAAAACTGCTTATGTCCTCATATATAGAACTTTATCACTAATTGTTATAAGAGCTCTGGTGGCCTAGTGGTAAGAAGCTGCTCTGCAATCCTGAACACCAGTGGTTTGAATCCACCAGCTGTTCTGTGGGAGAAAGATGGGCAATCACCTCCCGTGTGATTTACTGTCTCTAAAAACCTGCTGAAGGGTCAGCTATGGGTTGGTTCTGGCCTGATGGTACACAACAACAACTTCACTAGTTGTGAAACATGTTCATATATGGTCTAATGATAATCTGGAACACAGAAGGCCTAAACATTATTGGCTGAATCTATTAAGAATAATTCCTTGCTTTCTCCAATTTCTGGAGAAGGAAGGGAAACTCATAAAGATTTCTTAGAAAATAATACCTTAATAAATCTTCCCCAGAATGTAAAGGTTTTTAAAAACAATTCTGCCAATGAGTAGCTCTAATCAATGAATTTAGTATATTAAAATTTGTACTGATATACTAATCATGATGACAAATTAAGGCTTAAGAGTCCATAACTGTTTCTTAACCATGTATATCTTAGAGTCAACATGGTTACAGAAACACTATTTCAGATCAGGATGGTGTATATTCTTGTCAAGATAACTTGATCAATTCTTGTGCTGTAAACAAAAATATTAGGATATTTTCTAACTCACAGACTGGTTAAAAGGGGTTGTTTTGCAGCACAGTTCTGATAAAAATGAACTCAAATTCTAAAAGTCATTGTTTCAGGCCATATTTGCATTTCTGACCTTTAAATATCCAGTCTGTGTATGAGACAGCAACAGGAAAATGATGGAAGGATTTTCCAAGTCATTTGGGTTTCAGCTCAGGCACTTTTTGAGGCAAAAGGAAGGAAGGTAATGACGAGAAAGGGGAGTGAGATCAATAGCAATGAGAAAGACTGGAAAGTATTCTGTAGGGTCCACAGAGCTATAAGAACAAAAAGAAAATACACATTTAGTTGATGAGTTTCTGTATTCTTTATATGTTTAATTTCTGAATCCAAACTATAGAAGTAAATAAAAATAAACATTTTTTCAGTATTTAAAATGTATTGGAGAATATGCTTAGATATTTGTTAGAATTATCTCACTTAACTCTCCAACAACTGTATGAAGTTAAGTATTTTAATCCTTTAATTAGTAAGTTGAAAGTAAATGAAATTAGAATATAGAGGGGAGCTCTGGTGGCTAGGTGGTAAGGAATTGCACTGCCAATGCAAAGATACACTATTTGAATTCCCCAGCTTCTCTATTGGAGAAAGATGGTCAGTCTCCTCCCTTGCAATTAACTGCCTCTGAAAACTTGCTGAGGGTCAACTATAGGTCAGTTCCAACTCAACAGTGCCCAACAACAGATACAGAATATATAATTGGCTATCCACAGTGTATTATTAAATGAATATTGACTTAATGCTTGTTGTTTTTTGGCAATTTTAAGTATGAGAAATCCAAATATGATCTCTCCTATCTCAGATAAACAAAAAATGACAGAGAATTTGTTAAAGTTAAGCAAGAGTAAATGTATGGGTTGCTACTTTAGGTTGTATGGTCAGTAAAATTCCTTTGTAGAAGTGGAATTCAGTTGCAATTGAAATTCCACTATATAGCCAATTACATTGCTATTAAGTGGGAAAGCATCCCATGCACAGGCAACACAGGGTGTAAAAACCCTTAATGTGACTATTTTAACATTGTCAACAGCAAGCATCCAGAGCACTTCTCATGTAAATGTTTCAACTTTTTTTCTGATAATTTTTTTCTGAAAAAAACTAATATTCTTTCATGTTTTCAAGAAGGAAACTATTACTTAGAGAGTTAATTAATTCACAAACATGATAAAGTTGGTAAGAAAACGAGCTGGTGCTCATATCCAGGCACAGTGAGTTTCAAAATTACCTTCTTGACCACTAGATAAATCCATGTCTTTGCCTTCAAGTACATTAATGGCATCTTGGTCCAGGCATATATCCTACCACCAACCTCCTCTATATGATGAACGTCACATTCCTACTGTCAGCCTGGCATGGCAAACATTGTATGTTAAGAACCAGCAAAAAAGAAGACAGAAGATGTAACAAGATTAGGTGCAGTGTCTTCAGTAGGCTTAACCTACTAACAATTTGGGATGGCACAGAAACAGGTAGTATTCTGTTCTGTTGAACTAAGATCCCTATGAGTTGGAACTGACTCAATAGCATCTAACTGACTTAACATAGCCTAAAATACACCTTGATTTTCTGAGGCTTCAAATCAGAATTTACTGACACACTAATTCTTTAGCAGGGGACACATAAGAATTGTCTGGGAAGCCTTCATAGTGTTATTCATTCTTACACACAACCCAAGTTTCTGGTTGGCCATTTCTAGAGATGAATAGAACATTCCTTCAAAGAAAGGTGCATGGATAGGTTTAAAAATTCTCACTGTGGTTCTTTTATTTCCTGTTTTTCATCTATTTTCATGATAAACCCAGTATGACATTATTCTCATAACCACAAGACCTTTGAAGACCACCTGAGAAACAGAAACTGAGAATATTTGCTGGACAAGCCTTTTGTATTACATTCACTCTCCTTGATTTGTGCCTCTCATATAGATTGAAAGGGACAACACTGATTTCTATCCTTGAAACTCCTGTCAGAAGTTTGCTATTGCATCTTCCTTGGAGAGAGCTATTGCAACATGAATGCCTACTTTCTTTGAGAAATTAGGGAAAGTATAGGAATTTCTGGCCGCTTCTGGATTTTAGGTTATCCTATAGACCTCTTGTTACTTCCTAAAGAAGAAGTCTTGACAATGAATTTGACCTACTTCCCAAGATGATACCAAAAGCATGGCCAGACTGGATAGAGTTGAGTCCATTATGTTAGTTATCTTTTCTCTCTTGAATGATAAAAACATTTTTCTAGAAGCTAATCTTAATTCCTGGTTAAGGAACAATGTTCTAAGGTAGAAAATGGGTCACTATTTATCACCAAGTCTTTGGAAAGTACTTTATTCCAACCCAATCAGCATAAAAGTCAGGGTTGATGCAGCTTTTCTTTGTTGTCATATTTATAAATCACAACTGCCTGACTACAAAATCAAGTGGTCAACCTGGACAAAGTGGGGGAAGAAGTTGGGAGAGAGAGAGAGATACACAATGACCAAAATTCTTAAGCTTTATTCTGACCATTTTAAAGTGAAATTTGAAGCCTACAAATTTATTATTGGGTTATAGCTGAAACTGGAAATTTTATAAGGAGTTTATACTCTTCTATACTACTTTTATTCTTGTTCTTATTCAGTTTATTGACACACAACAGTACACAATTAGGCTTAAGATTATTATTGTTGTTAGGTATCATCAAGTTGGTTTGGACCCATAGTGAACCTGTATGAATGAACAGGATTGCTCTAAGAGAATTTCTTAAAGTATAATCCTTATTCGAGTAGATCATCATGTCTTCTACCCTGAAGCCATTAGTGGGTTCAAACTGCCTATATTTTGATCAGCAGTCAAGCATTTAAACCTTGTACCAGGAGGCCTTCTCAGAATTGAGATTACACTCAGAGTAGCAGTGGAGTCACTGTGTGGTTGGTTAAGGAAGGACTGAGTGGTCAGGGGCCAGGGTTCTAATTACAATGTTTCGTCTATTATGTTGTTCAGTGCTGTCGAGTCCAGTATGAATCTTAGTGATCCTATGAACAACAAATCTGAACCCTGTCCTATTGGTATATGTAAATAAATAATCTCATATTGCATTTCATAGTAATTTTTCATCATCTTTAAACAAATATAAATGTATCTGTTGGAATGGTTGTTATGGCTGTGCATATAGACCTAACATATAGTACTCCACACTTGCTCTGTCCTTTTTCATTTGCCAAAACATATATTAGACCTTTGGCAACTCTTCCTTAAAAAATGTTCAATTACCTTTGCTTCTAATAAATTACCTGTAACAGCATTACCACAGCTTGTAACTGGTCTTTCCAGGCAAACCCCTCTCCCTTCACTTGGGTTTGCTGTGGCTTTGTGATAATATTTTCTGTCTCAGATTTTCTAAGCTTCCCTTGCTTTCATCTATGTGCCAGCTATACAAGGTACAGGGAATCAAAACTGGGTTTTATCCTCAGTACAATTGTTGGCTTAGTTTCATCAGTACAATTCTTATTTGTAATGACGACATTACAATGGCTAAGGTGCAATGTTCATAGTAAGTGGAAATATAAAATAGAATCCTCACCTTATGCCAATGGAGAGTCACCTTCTAGTTTTTAAAAATCATGAAAAAAATGAAGCTGTAGGTGCAAGGTGTTGTCTCACCACCCACATGAAGTTTCCTGCTATTCTAACAATGTAAATTATGGATCAGTTTTCAAGCCACTTGTGTCCTTTACATGACAGATATGTCTGCCTTATACCTGAAATTATGAAGTCTCTTATGGAATAGAGGGTATTGTCTCTCCAACCTATATGGTTAGAGCTCATTACCTTCTGGATTACAATAAGAGTTTTGAGGCCCATGGGACTATTAGCCCTTGACATTACTTAGTTTCTCACTTTCCATTAACTATTTGGAAGATTCTTTTCTGAAAAATTTAGTAACACTGATGGTGTCAATATTGTTGTTGCTGTTGTTGTTATGTGCTGTCAAGTCACCTGCAACTCATAATGATCCTATGTACAGACGCTCTGAACTCTGTCCTGTCCTGAGCAAGTCTCACTCATCCCAACACACCAACCCCCATGGTTTCAGTTACTTTATCAATCCATCTCATTTGGGGTCTTCCTCCCCTGCACTGTCCCTCCACCCTTCTGAGCATGATGTCCCTCTCCAAGGACCAGTCCTTTCTGGCCACATGCCCAAAGTATGTGAGACAGAGCTTCAAACTCCTAACCTCCAAGGAGAAACTTGGTTTCACAGGACAGATCTGTTTGTTTTCTTAGTCATCCATGATATGTTCAAGACTCTTCTCCAGCACCACAACTCAAAGGCATTGATTCTTCTGTCATCCTTAGTAATTTTTCAGCTCTCTGATGTATAGTAAGTAATTGCAAAGACCATGACCTAATATTGATTTTTATTCTAGCATGCCTTCATAATTTTTAGTAGAGTTTCTCTTTTACTCTTCTGAGCAAGACATTTGTCTTCAGCTAGTTAAAGGACATTTTGGAATATGAATGTTTCCCTCATGCATGCTTTACTTTCTCCTTAGTGCCATTAAAACCCCCCCACCACTTTCAAAAATTACTAAGTCTCACAGGTCTCTTACTCTATACCAAGCTATAGATAGAGCCTAAACTGGTTAGATATGTTGTTGTTAGGTGCTGTCAAGTTGAGTATGACTCATAGTGATGCTATGAACAAAAGATTTGAACCCTGTTCTATACTACTCCATTCTCACACTTCCTGACACACAAGAGCCCATAGTGGAGTCATTGCATCAATTCACTTGGCCAAGGATTTTCCTTTCCTTTCTTTTTTATGCTAAGTCTTGTTTTACATATGAGTTAACTCAGCAGAGAGTCAGGCTGGACACAGAGGTTGAATTAAGGATATTAGGTGATAAAATATTGACTTGGAATTTTTTTAAATTAAATACTTCATGCCATTTTGCTTGCTTATTTGTTATCCCCCCATAAATAAAAATATGTGATGTATTTAATTCAGAGAAAAGGTAAAAAATAATGATCTTTAATTACAGTTAAATATTATTTTAAAATCACACTAGTAACTTTAAATTTTTATCACAATACTGGAGGCTCAACATAAGAATTAATTTGGGACAGCTGGCTCTACTTTGCATCTGAGGAGAGGCTCACAGCGCTCGGTGCCCGGCCCAGCTTCTTTCAGGATGTCTACTGTTCATTAATTCTGTGCAAGCTCAGCTTGGAGTGTGATCACGCCACATCCCCCAAGTGCATACAGGTCAGTCAAGGCTTACACCGTCTTTGATGTGGAACAGGATGCTTTGAACACTGAAACAGCTAACAAGACCAACGGTGTGGATGTGGTCACCATCGTCAACATTTTGACCGATGAAAGTCTGCTATTAGGGACCTCTCCAGGGTACTGAGGAGCAATGGTGTCACTCTGGAAACTAAGTTGCGTCTGATACAGGCTATGGTCTCTGCAATCACTTGTTATGCATCAGAGAGTTGGACAATGACTAGGGAGGATAGAAGGAAAATCGATGCCTTTGAGCTGTGGTGCTGGAGAAGAGTATTGAATGTACCATGGACTGCTAAGAAAACAAACAGATTCATCCTGGAGAGGGTTAAATCTGGCTGCTCCTTGGAGGCAAGGATTCTGGGGATTTGTCTGACATACTTTGGACATGTTGTAAGGAGGGACAAGTCCTTGGAGAGGTACATCATGCTTGGGAGGGGGGAGGGACGGCGTAAGAGGGGAAGACCCTCTATGAGGTGGATTGATTCAGTGACTGGGGTAATTGGGACGGGTGTGTCAGAGGCAGTGAGATTGGCACAGGACAGAGGAGAGTTTAGGGCTATTGTAAATAGGGTCACTATGAGTCCCAAGCGACTTGATGGCACATAACAACAACAGCAGCAATTAACAGAGGCTGGTCCTACCACAAAAAGGCCAAAAAGGAACTTGCATCAGCACTGAAGTCAGCCTTATCTGGCCACCTGGAGACAGTGATTTTGGGCTTTTTGAAAACACCTGTTCAGTATGACGCCTCTAAGCTGAAAGCCTCCAGGAAGAGGCTGGGGACGGATGAGGACTCCCTCATTGAGATCATCTGCTCCAGGACCAACCAGGAGCTGCAGGAAATCAACAGAGTCTACAAGGAAATGTACAAGACCTACTTGGAGAAGGACATTATTTTGGACATACCTGGGGACTTCTGCAAGCTGATGGTTGCCCTTGCCAAGGGCAGAAGAGCAGAGGATGGCTCCATCATTGACTATGA